GAGGGTGGGATTCACAAGACTTGTCAAGGTGTGTGGCTTGTGCCTTTTTTTTTTCTTATGTGCAGAAAGCACGGGGACGTTTGAGCACTTTTTTCCATTCCCCCCTCCCCCCTACCAACTCCACCATGCAAACTTCGAGACCCCCGGGACCCTCTGGCGTTGAGAAAAACGCTAGGTGTCCTTCTCAGATTAGTCTCCCTTGCCAAGGAGGCTAGCCAAGAATGGCGCAACCTGCACTCTCGCTTTTCCCTGTAAGGCAGCCCTTAAGGCCTTAGGGATAGAGGTGACAAGATTTGGTATCTAACAACAAGCCGCTGGGCAAGAGACTGGTTTGTAGCCTTAAATGAGACTGATTCATTTCAAACAGAAGAGTAGAGCAAATTTTCCAGTTTAAGACTTCCTTCCCCTACTCCCCGGCTTTTTCCAGGGACCTTCGTGTCCGCCCGCTGCAGGAGGATCCTGAACCTAACTAGCCACGCACTCTCGGCTCTGGTGCTTCTGCCCGCACGCACTTGAACGCTTAGCAAGCCCCCTCCGAGGCTGTTCCCTCTTTCCGGGGAAATAAAGCCTAGATTGGAACCTTCTGCCCGGCTTCCTCACTTGGCCGTCTGGTCTGAATTAGTGTTTTTATAAGGGACTCAAACAAATCGAATACAAGGTCACCAAATAATTAACAGTTGCGAATTCCCTCCGTCCCCATTAAAATACTTCCCCGCTTATATTTCATTTTCCGTTTGCCAACGACAACAGGGTTCCGGCAAAAAGCGCTGCTGCATTGGTTACACCACTCTGCGGCCCTGGTCCACCCAGAAATCCGCTGTTTTGCGTAAACATGATGTACCAGGCGAACTTCAGTCAACTGAGGAACTGTGCAGATAGCTCTTCGAATGCCCTTCCCGCTCTGGGTCAATCCTTAGCCTTCTACTGTCCAGGCCCTTGATAATTACCAGGCGGAAGGTAAAGGGAGAAACCATCAAACAACCCGCAGCAGACTACTCGGGAGTCATTTGTAAGGTGTCAAGTTCCTCAAGGATGTTCCGATCTCCTTTTCTGGTTTTTAATCTATTCTTCACTGGTTTCTTTCTGAGAGCACTATCATAACAACAAAAATTAAAGAGTATTCTTATTTCAAAGTCATTTGGAACCTAACTCATGGCAGTATTTTTTAGACTCGGTGTTTCCCTCATCCTTGAGAGTTTTCTTACGTGGCACTAACTACATGAATTGCTCTCTCTCTCCTCTCTCCTCTCTTTCTCCCTCCCTTCCTCCTTCTTCCCCCTTTCTATGTCTTTCTTCAACAACTCGCCCTTAGAGAAATTCTAATTGTTTGCCTTTCCCAGGCTCCAGGATTGGAGGTTCAGGACCCTAGTTCCACTGACCTTTTAATGAGTGACTTCATGCACTAACTAATTTCACTATATCCAATGTGTTCCATTCTGGTTCTACAATTGCACCAGTGCACACATGCACACACTTTCTCATCTTCATGGATCCAAACCTATTTTAAAGTGCAATATGAAGGCACAAGGTCTTGTGCCAGGCACAAGACAAATTCAGATCTTAAATTCAAAGTTCTATGGGAACTTCTCACTAAGTCTTAAGATTGCACAGAAGAATATTGGGCCAGGAAGAAATTCTCATTTTTCCTTTTTAAAAAAATTTGTTCTTCTTGCCATATCCTGGTAAAGATCTATTCATATATTCCCCTGGTTTATCATGCAGACTCTAGGATCTTATGCAAAATTCCCCTCTCACTAGTTTTGTGACCCTGAGCAACTAACTTAATCTGTCTTCCTTAATTCACCTGCAGGGAATGGTTGTGAGACTTAAATGAGACAATTCAGTAACAGACTTAAACATCATACAATAAATCTTGTACACAGTACAATAAATCTTGGTTATTTTTATTACCCCTAGGGGGCCAAAGAGGAAGGACTTCTTGTTTGTTTGTTTTTAGGTTGCAATAAGGTCTCCTTCGTGGAGGTTGGTGTGGGGAAAGGTGGCAGGGGTTGGAACAGTACAGAACATGCTGTCTTTATAGAGCGCTCTTTACTCTGGGCAGAGTTTATCGCTATTCTTCCATTCTGAACCACGGATTTCAAGAATAACTTTTGGGTTCTCAGGTGAGGAAGGTGTTTTCGCAACTACTATACTTTAGTCACCAGCTTCAGGGCTCCATTCCTCTTCTTTGCTCCTCCCCTTGAGGGACTCTTGCTCCTCAGAGCCCAGCCTGCTACATGCAACCTCTCTTTGGCCAAGAGCCAAGTTAGCAGGACTGGCTCAACTCTGGGCTGTCCCCTAGTCTCCCTCCTTACCAGGCCATCCCCGGGTTGGGGGAGGGGATGTCCAGGGCTGTTCAGAACACCCGTGTGAGAGAGGCGGAAGTCCTCTCCAGGAGCTGGGGATGCGCGGCTAGCGGGTCCTTTCCATTACGGGAGACTAGACACCGTTTGATGTGTTATGACATGAACCCTCAATTAGATCGCTGAGTTGAAACACTCCAATCAGGGGCCCGATGCTAAGCAAGCCCCGGAAGGTCCAGCCCGAGGTCACCGCCGGTGACACATCAAATCAAAATCAGTGAGAGGGAAAGTGAGGCTTTCCCTTTATCAAGCTGGGGCTGCAGCCAGCAACTTACCCCCTCCTCTTCGCGCCCCTCCTGCCCAAGCTCCGCACTTCTTTACCCCCGCTCGGCGTGCGACCAGCCGCACTGTCTTTCCAGTCACCTAGCTGCCTTCTACGCGTTTTCTGGGAACTTGAGGGAGTGAAGGAGACCGAGTCTTTGAAGCTGCTGTCCGGGTGGGCACAGCGCGCGTCTCCTCCTGCTGTGGACCGCTAACAGCCCCAGCCTTCGACGGCGTTCTAGGGTTGAAGCTGGACGACTGGATCTCTGTCCGGCTGGTCTGGAGACCTTGGCTTGGGAACAGAGCCTGCCTCCGTCCCCTCACCATCCTGGGCGCACAGCCAATCCCTCCTCTACCTCCGACGCCCAGGGGCTCACTGAGCGGTGCCTGGGGGGAGGGGAACTGCAGGGCAAGCAAGAATAAAGTGGACTACGCTGTTTGGGTCTACGCTGGATCTGGGACTCCCCCCCCCCAGGACAGCACCTTGCCCTTGCCTGAATTCTGAAGGCTTCCATAGAAATCTCGGAATAGCACGCAGGGTCCCTTGGTCCTGTGCCAAATTCACTCTCAGGGCTCAGTGAACCAGTTAGGGGTGCCTGCCTGGAAGTGGGGGGATTCTTGCTATTCCGAGGAAAAGAAAATGAACGCACAACTGCCCGCAAGCCTAGGCCTTTAGGAGTTCTTCCCTTGAAGAAGGGCCTCTTGAGCACTTTTCTTGAGCTTCCTTAGACTCTCCTTTGGTGAGGGTATTAGAGACTGTGGAAGACTGGCAGAAGACTTGGAGGGAGAAAGAGAGCCATGGAAGATGGCGGAGAGAGTTGTGGAGCTGTGTAGGCAGCACCTGGACCAACGACCTAGTTGCAGTACTGTGAATAAACTTGTCTTTGCAAAGATGATTTTAGTGGTCCTAAATCGTCATAAAACACCTGACGTTAATTTGTCGTCGGCGCCTTTCAGCAGCTCATAACCCAGCTGACCTGGGGCTGCAGTGGAGCACGGACATAGACAGGAGCTTGGCGCGCAAAAGAAGGCGAGGCTAGGCACTGGAGATCCTGAAAACCCTGGGAGAAAAACCCTTAGCCCGCTCTGAAAGCTTTGAGAATGTGTGAGTAGCTCAGCAACCTCCTCTGCCCAAACTCCAGCGCTCTTGGGTTTCTGGGTAACCCCATTTTCACTGACCTGGAAGTGGGGGAAACAGGGCCAGTCAAAGTCGCTAAGTCTGGGGAGGACTGGAGTGTATATCTGTCTAAATCTCTTTTAGCTCCTCCTTTCTTCTTGTTACCTTCCTCTCCTTTCTTCTTTCCTTTTTCTCCCTTCCTATCCTGCCTCCTTCCGCATTATTGTCTCCCCTCTTTAGAAGCCAGTGGAACTTTCCCAAATTTCTGAGACCATGAGGAGCACGAGGTTTTCATGAGGGCACTGGCTGCGCTTCAGACAAACGATGATGGCAAAGGGGAGGAAAGGCAGCGTTTTCCGCAATCACCCGCACGTGCAGCTGCGGGTGCAGAAGGAAACCAGGATGGGGCCCCTGGGATGCATAGAAAGAGAAGCGTTGTCTGTCTGAGAAAGGTGACTGGTACTCATGTACCCATTTGCATTAAGTACCAACGCAGCCCCAAACCTAACGGGCCCCGGCTCTGGCCCCTGCCCGCCCCGCCAGTTGCTCCAGCTTCCTCTGCAGCACAACTCGGGTAGCAGCCTCAGAGATGCCGCGTGCGTGACGCTAGAGGGAAAAAGAAATGCCAGAGGGCGTTGGGCGTCCTTCCGGAGAAGATCCCCACACCCAGCTTAGAGAAGCGCAGAGAACCCATGCGACCGCTGGACCTGCCGGTGGAAGACCAGCTCCCAGGATCGCCAGACTGCCTGGGACGGGCTTTTCCTGGAGAGACAGAAGCTCGGCTTTGCAGCGGTCACTCGTGTCCCAGGGCCGGCCCGGTTTGCCCCGGCAGCTCAGCCTTGAACCATGCATCGCGCACAACCCCAGATCCTAAGATACAGGGTCCATCAGTCCTCTCCCTAACCCGTCTCCATCCCTGGACCTCTGCCTGCCACTTCTCTTCCTCTATGCTTCCTCCTCTAGCTGCCAGACGAGCGGCCACCACGCCGCGTTCTGCAAAAGATCAGAACGAGGGAAGGAAGGAAAGAAGGAAGAGAAAAGTAAGCAAGAACGAGAGGCTGCAGACTGGAGCAAAATCTGCAGCCGCATTCAGAAACTTCCTTGGGCTCGAGTAAAACAATTCAAGAAAAGAGAAGAAAAGGGGGAGGTGTCCAGAGTGGGAAGAGAATTCACAAATGCAGCCTCCAGCCGAGCCGGAGCAGCGCTGCGGCTGCGGAGCTCCAGCTCGAAAGAAGTCGGGCGTCTTCTTTGCCACTTACCTAGTCCTCTGTCTACAAAGCTAGTAATCGTATTAGCCGACTTGGAAGACTGGAAAAAGCTGGCATTGATGCCCATCTTCTCGGCAATGGAGTAAGTCTTGTAGATTGACAGCATGTACTCGTGGGGCACCACGCGCGGACCCCTACCGGGCGGTTCCTGCCCCCGGGGCTGCTGAGGCGGCCGCCGCTGGGACTCGTCCTGCGGCCGCGGCCGCGGCTCCTGGCGCTCCTGGGGTGTCCGGTCCGCCGCACTGGCTCGCGGCGCCCGCGGCATCTTCCCTTCCTTGCGGCTCCGCATGCCTTTGGAGGAATCCAGCTCGGCCGACGACGACGAGGAGGAGATGGAAGCCTGCTGGAAACCAGGCAAATCCCACAGGAAGCTAATAAGGAAGACGGCCGAGAGCAGGACCCTGGGAGTATCCATGGCGAGCGAGTGGCTGCGTCTCCCTAGAGGCGGCGACGGGACGCCAGGGCGCAAGGAGCACGGAGCGGCTGGACAGCGGCCGGGGCCCGGCTCCTCCGGCGGACTCCGAGTGCGAGGAGCCGGGTCCCAGCCACACAAACCCCGGCCCTGCCACGCCCCCTCCCGCCCCTCGCCGGGAGGGGAGGAAAGGGGAGGGAGGGAAGGGAGGGCAGAGGAGGAGGGGAGGGTGGGAGGAGAGGCCGTGTGGTGCGGGCAGGAGGAGTGGGGCAGAGGGGCTGAGGGGTGCCGGTGTGCAGCAAGACGCAGCGCCCCCGCGGGACGCGTGCGGGGTTGCGGGGCGCTGAGCTCAGCGCTGGCCGGGGGAGGGCGGGCGTCGCTGTCCTGCGGCTGGGCAGGGTCCACCTGGCCCTGTCCGAGGAGCTGTCCCTCAGCGGCGCCTTGCGGGTCTCAGTCCTCGCCAGATGCCTGCACTTTCCTGGGAGCGGGCGGCCGGGACCAGGGAGGCGACAGCGGCGCCCCCCAGAGACTGCTCGGGGCAGGAGCCTCTGTCGCGGGCTGCGCGCGGGCTCCGGGCGGTGGTACCTTCTCTCCTCCGCCCGAACCCCAAGCCGATCGTTGGCTCCCTTCAGGTCCAGCCCAGAACCGGGGAAGCCTCGCCGCGGGCCAGACGCAGGGCCCAGTTCTGCACAGTCCCGTACTCTCGGTGGGGTACCGCGCTCCACAAAGGCCGGCGTCTATTCCCAACCTTCGAGGTCAGGGAAAGGCCACCAGTCTTTAGAGTCTGGAGTGATGCTAAAAGCTGCTGCGCTCCCCTGCAGGCCCCAGGCTCTCTTCTCGCAGTCCCCAACCTCTTCTGGCCTTGGCTTCATTTCTCCTTTGCCTGCTCGCGGGCTCTTCTGAGGGCCTGCACCCAGCCAGCCTCCGATGCATCCCCATTTTCCCTCTCTTTTCCTCCCGTCTTCAAGACTTCCTCTTTCCCCAAGTTCCTTCTGCATTCCAATCCTTCACCCCAGCCTGCTTTTCTTGCACCACCCTCCCAACTCTCTGCTTCCCACCCTCTCTCTTCCCAGTCCCCCTCCCCCCCACGCCGCCCCTTCCAGCGGACCTCTCCCTTTGCAGCGCTACCCCAATCTGTTTCTCTTCAGTCCAGCCTCGCCCCATCACGAGTTTCCTTTATCTGTCCCCAGATTCCCCGTGCCTGTCTTCCCCGCCCACAGCCTCGCTCTTTCCTGGACCTGAATGCTGGAAGACACAGCCAACCCAGGGCTGCTTCTCTCTCACACAGTGTTCGCTCCCTGGACAGCAATAGACAATGATTTCCCTGCCTTTATGGGGAGCGGGGTGCCCAAGCACCAAGCATAAAATGATACCCTCCTTTAATTGTCCCAGTACTGTGAGGTTGGCATGACTATTTTCACTTTCCTGGATGAAAAAGAAAATACTCAGAGAGGATATATGACTTTTCAAGAGTTATGGATGCAGCAGGGATGACAGAAACCAGGCTTTGCACCCAAGCCCAAAGTTCTTCCCACTTCAGCAAAGACTCATCATGTCTTGCTTTTTTTTCTTATCATTTCATTTGATGTCAGGTAACTTCTCTACACTGCTTTTTTTTTCCTTTCCTTTTCTTTTCTTTCTTTTTTTTTTTTTTTTCAGCACAAGTTTGAACATAAGACCTCATGCTTATTGCTTGGGCCACTCTCCCAGCCCACTATGCTGTTTTTTACCCTACACTGCTTCTCTCTCTCTCTCTCTCTCTCTCTCTCTCTCTCTCTCTCTCTCTTCTCTTTCAATGGCAAACACCCACAGAGAACTCATGGATCAGACATGGTTCTAAGACCTTTATGCATATTGTTTCATTTAATCTTCACAACATTCTTGAGCTAGGTGCTGCTGTATTATCCCCATATTGTAGGCAGGGAAACAGGGCCAAGGTCACACTGTGCTCCTAATCACTGGTCTACTGAGTTTAGCTGCTTGCTTTCTTTCTGTTTTTTAATCTCTGTGGGTTCTTCTGGCTTACCCCAATCCTGCATGTGTCCCCAGTTTTAATTTCATGATTGCCAAGTTCTCTCTTAAACTTTAAGTTACCTTACTATAACATTTTCCTACTTCCTCTCTCTGGGCTTTAAATTAGCATATTATCATTTACAAGTTAACAACATAAAAGGAAATTGGAGCTGAAACTAAAACAACTTATTTCATAGATTTTTTTGCCACTACAAGTCAAAATGTTTTTGCCTTTATAGGATCCCTCAGCTCCTTCTTTATTTTGGTGCACACCTTTTATTATTGCCATGCAGAGATAGGTGCCATGTTGGATTCTTCCTTTGTCAGTTAACATTTTACACTGTCTCTGTTGCCTTCAACCTCTCTCTCTCTCTCTCTCTTTCTCTCTCTCCCTCTCTCTCCTTCTCTGCAGGTCTTCAGAGCTTCTCTGCTGGCCTGCCTAGGCCTCCTCTGCAAAATCACAGGCTCAAAACTGCCTATTCCCCATCTTCCCTTCTGCCTACCTGCCAGCCGTGGGGTGCAAATGGTCTTGTTTGTCCTGCTCTGCATTTTGCTACACACAAAGTCCAGAGTCACACAAAGGGGGCTTCTTCCTGTGGTCTATCTCCATCCCTTCCTTCAGAGAAGCAAGCACTTGTGGTTCGTGTTATCTCTATTTTAATTTCTATCAGTATAGTGTCTGGTTAATGATAATTCTTGGTTTTGGACCCTCCATTCAATAAGTGTGTTTCCTTCCTGCAAGGCAGCCCTGCATGTTCTCTCTTTATTTTGCCTGCCGCAATTATTATCTGTTACAAGTTATCAGTAAACAGGAAACAAAGTAATGAGCCTATTCACTGTGGTTTAGGACCTCTCAGCATTCTAGACAGAGGTGTGTGGAACAGCAAATGACACTGGGATAGAGACGCAAAGGATGTGGTCTGCTGTCCTTAGGATTTCCCCAGTGCAGTTATTACTCTCCTTCAGTGCTGTCAGCCGCAGGTCCATGCAAGGAAAGTTCTTTTTGCCCCAAAGGGCTTCTGTGATCATGTCAGTGAAGGAGGTGAGGCACAGCGAATTAGAAATATAACCAGAGACCAAAACTCTCTGATTCCTAATCTAATGCTTCCCCTATATTTAAACAAAAATCATATTTAAATATCATAAAAGTGATCCACAGTAATGTATAAAACCAATAATTTCTTTCCTTATAGGTCTGTCTCAAATAGGAATCCACCCCAACATTAACAAGGCCACACTAATGCCTTTGCTCTGAGTGTGTGTGTGTGTTGTAAAGGTAAAGATACAAAGAGCAAACCACAAATCAAAGTATGCTTTTAGATCTTCATACCATATTCTGAGTCTTTTGAAACATTGCCAGGGAATTTAAGTTCCAGTCTAGTCTTAGATTCTCTTGCTGTTTCTTCAGCAGTTTCTTCTACAAAAAACAAGAGTTGAAGTGAGGTCTGGTGCCCGCACCTTTAGATTCTTTTCATGATTAGAAAAGGTTCTTTTCATGATTAGATTCTTCCCCCAGTAGATAAAAATACAGACAGCTGTGCAATGTGGTATCTCCTGCCCCCCTGTGGATGCTGGGGGAGTTACCTGTGGAGAACCCAAACAATACTGGACACTGGAAAGTTTACAGGCATTTTCAAAGTTAACCAAGGGATGGTAACCTTAATTAACATAATCTTAAGAAATTAGAGAGTTGTGCATAAGGTGTGTGTAGCATTTGGTAACAAAACATTCATAAATGAGATCTCTGCCGGACTAGAGAAATAAATTTTTTAAAAAGCAAATAAAATTGCCCTGTTACTGTCTTAAATCTGTGCTGCTATTGTTTTTAAATTATTTTATAGTAATCCAGGAAAAGATGTTTCTCTTAAATAAATAATTTTTTTTCAGTACAGTGTCATTAGGAAGGCAGCTTTTATAAAAGTGACTGAGGATGTTGGACTTTTAGTCTGAGCACCACTCTTTAGGGAACTATTCCTTAGGGAAGTATATTCTAGAAAGAACTCAAGAAGTGTTTGAAGTTTTGCCCAATGCAACTTTTTTTTAATAAGGTTCCAGTTAAAATACAATCACTATCTAGTAGGATCTTGATTCATATTTTCACTGTCATGTATGTGGTCCAGAAGCAATGAGACTCAAGACTAGTAGAATCTGATTTTTTAAAAGGCTAATGACGAAATTCTCTTTCTTAGTGCCCAGTAAGGGGAATAAGGAAGGCACCAACAGGTAGGGCTGGAGTTGCCCATGTTTGTTTCATTCCAAGCATGCCTGCTTTTATCTGATTTTGACATTTTCATAAAATTTAATCTGCAGCAAAGGTTTAAAAAAGTAAAGAAAATGGAAGTTATTAATTTAGAATACTGATCAGTGTTCCTCAAAAGACAATCAAAGGTGATCAAAGGTATGGAGTCCTGAGCAACAAGAGGAGAGGTGGAGACCATGTTTGCCTTAGAGAAGTGGTGGGGAAAAGGGAGAAAAAACTCCAACCTGGGAAGAGTACGCCTAAGACAAGACATCTTCTCATTAATTCTCCCTGCTTTACCTGATCTATATTGAATCTAATTATTCCATTTCTTGTGTTTGTGTATTTGATTGCTTCTTTGACAGAATAGTTTATATAGAAGTGAAATGAAACAGAATGCAGAGTTGTACAAGATGAATATTCGGAGCCTCTCTGACCTCAGTTTCTCCACTCTACCAGTTGAATAGAGAGCTATTCTGTACCCAGTATGACAGCCCTGAGATTGGCAGGGAATTAGAATTCCAGTCCTGGATAGAAGCAGAAAGTACCTCTGGAGGAATCCAATTACTCTGTAATTACTCTCCTTCCATTCTACTGCAAGGCAAATTGATGCCCAATCTTGTCGTAGTTCACCAGCCATCACCTGGAAACTTGTTAGAAATGCAGATTCTGAGGCTTCAGCCCAGATCTGCTGAATCAGAAACCAGGGCTGCAGCTCAGGAACATGTATTGTAACCAGCCCTTGGGGGAT